TTACTTTCCCGCGGACGCGGGGCGGGGGGCGGCGTGGGAAGCGGCCGCGCGGTCAGCTGCGCCGGGCCGTCCCGGGCGCCCCTCCCAAGAATCCCGTCCTCCCGCCTCGCCGGGGCCCCGAGGAGCCAACCACCGTGGCGCTTCGCCGCAGTCAGCCACTTGTCCGGGGCTCTGTGCGTAGCGGAGCCGCTTAAATCAAAGCAGATGCGGCAGCAGCCGTCCGGCCGCCGGCACCGTGTTTCTCCAGCTGGTCCCCAGGTAGGGGGGCGCCACGGGTCCGCGCGGCCGGCGGGGAGGGTGTCAGAGTTTTTCCTCGACTCCAGCCGGGCACAGCGGGAAGGAGGAAGAACTACAGCTCCGAGCGCCAGGCTCTGGACCTGGGGATCCNGACCGCACCTGCCCCCGAGGTCTGGCTTCGGTCGCTCCCAGCTCCGGTCCACGAAAGGGCCTCTTTGGGGATTCAGAGCGCCCGGGACCACGCAGGCACCACCTACTTTACTTTACAGGAGTTGGCGGGCTTGTCGCCCCTCATCCCTCGCCAGCCCCGAGGGTCCTGGGACTCACCGCTGCTCAGCTCGTAGCCAAAGAGGGGGCGGGTGCCCGGCGGGGCGGCGGCGACCTGGCAGTTCCACCGCTCGTGCCTGAACTGGCTCCTGCACTCCTGAATGCCCAGCCGGGCGCCCTCCCGGATGCTGGGCAGCAGGTACGGCTTCCTCTTGCACAGCTCCTTCTGGCGGCTGCTCAGCGGCAAGTTGGCGCAGCCCAGCTTCTCCGGAACCCCGAAGGAGGCGATGCCCAACCACCTGTAAGACACGGCCGCCCCTAACGTCTGCCGCTCGCCTGCCCTCCTCCCCAATCCCAGATGCTGCCCCCCCAGATTAGGTCAGCCGCCCTGGGGTCACCGCCCCTACTCCCCCGCCGTAGCTGAAAGTTCCCTGAGGCTGGGCACCCCATTTGTCACACACCCGGCGCGTCCCTGCTGCCCCCACACTCACATCCAGTTTCCTTGGGCTCCGCAGGGAAACAGCGCGAGCAGGGCTGCCCACAGCGCGCACAGGCGGGACAGTCCCCGGAGCGCCGCTCGGCCCATGGCCCCCGCATGGATTCCAGCAGCCCCGGCGCCCCTCTTCTGCCGTCCCCGCCCGAGGCCCGCCAGGCCGGGGGCCGGCTCCCCAGCGCCAAGCTTTCCCTCGCCCTCTGCCTCCCTGCAGACAACATAAAAGGTCAGCGCTGATCGGGGCTCTCCGCGGCTCCCCTCACTTGCAGGGAGCAGCGTGAGGAGGGGGAGAGAAGAGCTTGCAGCGCGCCTCGCGCGCCCAGCCGGAG